ATCGACGAGGAGGACGACTAGAGCGACTCTGCCGTCATTTTTAAAAAATAGAATATAAGAGAGGACGCGCGCGAAAGGGGAAGAAGCGATCTCTACGCGAGTATATAAAGACCATCCATCAGTTAAGCGCTTCATTGTCGACGAAGAACGCCGAAGCCTACGAACGAGAAAAAACGAGCGATAATGTACGCGACAATGGAGGGGCTACCGCAACAGCAGCACTCGTTCGACGATCGATCGAGGCTAACCGAGCGAGACCGCGAGGATAGCGCGGGATACGCTAAAAAAGCTAAACAGGACTTGGGTAAGACTATTAAACATTCATTCGAACTAATAATTCGCTAGTGTCGTTTCTCTTATCGTTCGCATCCATTTTCAGACGAGATCGCGACCGGACGCCTAGACGCGACGCGGATGTCCCGATCGCGCGACCGCTCAGAATCTTAGGAAGACGCTACCCATTAACCAAAACCGCGTACAAACATCTCGAGGTCAGCGTTAACGTTAGTCGACCCTCTTTTGTGGAGATCGCCCTTGGAGATTGTCACGGCAAGGAGATCTCGCTAACGCCGGATATGTGGAAGGAACTGCTCGATCTACGATCCACGCTTCTATCCTATTTTCGCTCTGACGAGCGCGATGAGACGCGTCCTCCGGCGCCGATATACATTGAAAAGTTGACGCTGCGATTCGGCAAACTCAACAATCTCCGAATACTCCGTCTCGAAACGCTCAAGGTTCGTCTGGCCGTATCGAAGAGCACCGTTCTAACTATATTAAACCTAGAGCTTTGCGTCAACCGCATCGTTACATCTTTAAACGGTTTAACCGCGCACGTGGATAACAAGCTGACTCGTTTCCTCGATATCGCGGCAGGCGCTCACGATTCGGCGTTTATTCCCGCGATGATACGCGATAACGAGAACTTCGACTGCAACGATCTCATCGATTGCGAGCTGCAGGCTCTGCTCTTCGGAGAATCGTGATACGCTTATCCGCATACTCGTATTATCGCATTATTAATATATATCAAATATTGTATTATTAATATATTTAAAATGTTGTAAAAGGAAACAATAAAAACTCTCTTCCTCTCGCGCGAAAAAACGATCTCTCTTTATTCCACGACCTTTCGACGATTCGCCGTCTCGCTCGAGCGATAAGCGCGCTCGTATCGCCGCTAACCGTTCCTCTCTCCGTTCGACCGCCCTCCGACGATCCTCCGTCTCCCTTGACGCCGGATACCCGGCGTCCGTCCGCGGATTGCGCGCTAGAAGCGACGCGCGTCCCTAAAGAATCGCGATAGCGGATCGCGCGCTAGAAGCGGCGCGAGGGATCGCCGTCGCCCCCCTCCCCCCTAAGGAACAAGTCGCGTCAAAATCGAGTCGCGCCAAGGTCGAGTCGCGCCGGGAGAAACCGCGACCTCGATCGAGCCGAGCGTCATCTTTCGGGCGATCTCGTCGATTTCGTTGGACGTCTAGTAAGGTCGGTTCTAGCCCATTTCCATGAACGCGAGAGAGACAGACAGAGAGATAGAGAAGGACGGAGATATGATTAGAAAGAGATAGAGTGATGACCGCGGGTGACGTGGGGGCGGGGGGGGGGAGAGCGGGGGGTACGTAGGCATATATCTGAAAATAATTGTAATGGATTAGTTACAATTTTGTGATTAAAATGACACTAAATATGACATAAATCGAATTATTTTTAATGAAATAAGTAATCATAATTTTAATTACATAAATGATTAAAAATTATCCGATTTATATCATGTTTGGTATCATTTTAATCGGTAAAATATCATTAATTCATTGTAATCATTTTTGGATCAATAAGCGCGAGAAACAAAAATTTTACAGTAACGATATACAGGGTGTCCTAGACCACCCGTACACCCCTTTTCTTTCAAAAACTAAGCGTTTTAGAAAAAAACGTTTTGAACAAAAATTGTATGGTTTTGAGAGGGCCATAAGATGATACCATTGGTTTGACCTTGAAGATTTATTTGAAGGTCACATGAAGGTCACATTTAATTTTTTTAATGGAATACTATATTTTTTATTGCATATTCTTGTAGCCTATCTTGAGAGCTTTCCAAAACACTATAATAAAGTATTTCTTTATTAAGTACTTTTTGAGTTATTTTATATTTTATTCTAACATATTTTGATATGAAAATTAAAATATCTCGTAAAATATTTAGTTTTCGATAATCTTACAGTAATACTTTGATGCACAGAATAATGAGACAAATCAATTAGTATAAAAAAATAATTGTTTTTAAGAAAAAGTATGTAATTCTTTACAATGTATTTTTTTAAACAATTATTTGTTTTTTTCTTACACTAATTGATTTGTCTCATTATTCTGTACATAAAAGTATTACGGTAAGATTATCGAAAACTAAATATTTTACGAGATATTTTAATTTTTATATCAAAATATGT